TCTATTTTTGGTAGAGACAGGGTCTCACTCTTGTTTAGGCTGGTCTCAAACTCCTGAGCTCAGGCGATCCTCCTGCTTGGCCTCCCAGAGTGCTAGGATTACAGGCGTGAGCCACCACACCTGGCCATCCTATCATAATACTTAAAATATTAATATATAGTTGGGTAGTTCACAGAGATTCCAAAGCCAAACGTATTCATTTACTGGGATTGTCAGTGTCTCATGTTGCTTATTTAGCCAAGTTTTCACTTCCGTTAATCTTGTTTTTGGTGGCAGTTTAGTACTTCAGATTATTCTCATATGTAGCTCTTTAATAGCTAATATAAGGATTCTGCATTTCCACTGTAAATAACTTAGGCTGCTAAGATTCAACCAATAGGTTTTGAGCCCTATTAACATATTCAGCACTGAGCTAGGTCTTATGAGTGATAGAGAACACTGATCCTGATCCCTTCCTTTGAGAAATTTATTATCCTTTTGAGACAATAATATAAACTCATCAAATAGGAACAAGTTGAAATCATAATTTAATTAAACATAATTAAATTGCAGAGAAGAAACATAACTGGTTCCTTTGGAGAGAGAAACTAGGTGGCTGGGAACAAGAATGGGAAGACTTATTTTTTTCTACTGTATATCTTTTTGTGCCTTTTACATTTTGAGCATAGGCCTCTTTTGTCTATTAAATGCATTTTTACAAAACCTAAGCGCTAAATTTTGGTATTTTTTTTAATAGGTTCAGAGAAATCGTGAGAGACTTGGGACATTATCTAGATTCTGAGAGCCAGTAATTTTGCAGGCTTTGAACTCCAATCTTCCAGGATTTCTAATCAGGTTTTGACTATGATGGCTTGAAGAAATTGGTATGAGAGGTACTCAGGTGCTCAGTGTATCTTTTTTTTCTTTCTTTCTTTTTTTTTTTTGGAGACAAGAGTCTTACTCTGTTGCCCCAGCTAGAGTGCAGTGGCATCATCATAGCTCACTGCAACCTCAAAGTCTTGAGCTCAAGTGATCCTTCTGCTTCAGCCTCCCAAGTTGCTGGGACTAGAGGTCTGCATTACCACGCCTGGCTAAGTTTTTCTATTTTTGGTAGAGACAGGGTCTCGCTCTTGCTCAGGCTGTTCTTGAACTCCTGACCTCAAGCGATCCTCCCGCCTTGTCCTCCCAGACTGCTAGGATTACAAGCGTGGGCCACCACACCCGGCTTCAGGGTATCCTTAAGCTGACTACAAACCAGAGATTCACATGTTGCAATTCTGTGTCACCAAAGAGCTTGAGAGCCACTTGAGTTTTGCATCAAAAGTAAGTGATGTCAATTGTGCTAATTGCACATGACACTTTCCTTGGGGGAAACAGTTCTTTCTTTGTCCTTACCCAGTTAGTGAGATAACTAGCATTTTTCTCTGAGTTTGTGTTACAATAGGCCTATAAACAGTACCCCTTATATTTTTAATGATAGCTAATTAGGGCCATCCTTCCAGAAATAACTCTAAAAGACAAATTGCCTATCATGAGCCTTGTTGCAGAATTTTTATTAAATGGGTTATTTTGTTTTGATTGGCTTCTAAGTAGTATGTCCCCTAAGAATTTTCATCACTTTTACAATTGTCATAATCCTTTAACTTGTGCACTTTTAGACCACACTCTGAACACTAATATGTTTTGAGCTATGATTAGTTTCATTTTCTTTATTAGTGCTTTGGATCAGAGATATATAACTGATGATTTTTAGAGTATACTTTGGAGGGAAGGAGAAATTAATTGCTTACTTTTTTTTTTTTTTTTTTTTTTTTGAGACAGAGTCTCACTCTGTTGCCCGGGCTAGAGTGCTATGGCGTCAGCCTAGCTCATAGCAACCTCAAACTCCTGGGCTCAAGCAATCCTTCTGTCTCAGCTTCCCGAGTAGGTGGGACTACAGGCATGCGCCACCATGCCCGGCTAATTTTTTCTATATATTTTCAGTTGTCCGATTAATTTCTTTCTATTTTTAGTAGAGACGGGGTCTCGCTCTTGCTCAAGCTGATTTCAAACTCTTGAGCTCAAACAATCTGCCCTCCTCGGCCTCCCAGAGTGCTAGGATTACAGGCATGAGCCACCACGCCCGGCCTAATTGCTTACTTTTGGTTTGTTTTTCCTTTTTTTTTTTAAATATGAAAGTATAAATTTATGTATTTTTAGTTCCACAGTGGTCATCTTAACACTCCTGGTTTGAAATTTCAAATATTGCAACATTTACAGCATTAACTTCCATTAATACATCACAGAGTCAACAGTGTGGCAGTATTGATCTTTGTAATTCTGACTGTACAAAATCTCATGACTAATTTATATGGAAATATTTCATAAATATTCTTTACTATTCAGTTCTTTCATCTTATATAAGCTGTAAAATCAAATTATTTTCAAATCAGCTGTGACCTAATATTTTCATAAAGTGACTGTCTTAGTCTGTTCAGGCTGCTGTAACAAAATACCTTAGACTGGGTAATTTATAAACAACAGAAATTTATTGCTCAAATTGGAGGCTGAGAAGTCCAAGATCAAATTGCCAGCAGATTCACTGTCTGATAAGGGTTCATTCCTCATAGATGGTACCTTCTATCTGTGTCCTCATATGGCAGAAGGGAAGAACAATTTCTTCAAGCCTCTTTTATAAGAGCACTGATTTCATTCATGAAGGCTCCACCCTCATACCTAATCACTCCCTAAAGTCCCTACCTCTTAACACTATTATATTGGGGGGTTAGGTTTCAACATGTGAATTTTGGAGGGATAGAAACATTCAGACCATAGCAGTGACTTAGAAGGTAGCAATGAATACTGTGTTATGTACATCCTGGGTTGAGCCTGAAGTCTCTCTTGGCAGCCAGTTCTTGATCTAGCACCTTAGAGAGACTGGGTCCTCTGAAATACATGGGTAAATCAGAAGCCTTAATTCCTTCCTGCATGCTCATTATATGTATATATACATACATATACCTATATCAATCTATACCTATATAGATGGGGGGGGAGACAGTACATGAAAGCACAAGCATGTACACTAGTATCATCATCCCTGCCAATTTTTATTTATTTATTTTCTTTTTTCTTTGAGACAGAGTCTCACTGTGTTGCCCAGGCTAGAGTGCCATGGCGTCATCCTAGCTCACAGCAACCTCAAACTCCTGAGCTCAAGCAATCCTCCTGCCTCAGCCTCCCGAGTAGCTGGGACTACAGGCATGCGCCACCACGCCCGGCTAAGTTTTTTTTATATATATTTTTAGTTGTCCAATTAATTTCTTTCTAATTTTAGTAGAGATGGGGTCTCACTCTTGCTCAGGCTGGTTTCGAACTCCTGAGCTCAAACAATCCTCCCGCCTCGGCCTTCCAGAGTGCTAGGATTACAGGCGTGAGCCACTGCACCTGGCCAGTTCATTTTTTATTCTTCCAACAATCCTATGAGATAGATTAATAATAACCTCTGAGGAACAAAGAGAAGAGAGTAGTATGATCATAATTTGAATTAGGATTCCCTGGGGTCAGAACCTGTCCTTTTAATATTAGTACACCATACTGCAATTCTGAATAGTAATGCTAGAATATAAGTAACTGCAGAAATTTGCATAGTGTTTATGGAAATAGAATATGTCAACATATGATCATTAGTGTATTCTAAAAATGTACATTCAATATGTATTTTTAAAAATCGACTCTCTTTGGATAAGACTTTCTTAAAATTAAGATTTATAAATTTGGGGCCAGGCATGGTGGCTCACGCCTGTAATCCTAGCACTCTGGGAGGCTGAGGCAGGAAGATTGCTTGAGCCCAGGAATTTTAGGTTGCAATAAGCTATGATGATGCCACTGCACTCTAGCCAGGGCAACAGAGTGAGACTCTGTCTCCAAAAAAAAAAAAAGATTTATAAATTTGGAAAAGGCAAATTACAGATTATAACTATTTGTAGCAAGTAAGAAGAGAGAGCCCATTTGTTTTTGTTTTGAAAACTGATACATGAAATACTTAAAATCTTCTGGTTCTTGTAAGTTTTACTTTTCATTTATTTCCTTCTTTCATTTTCAAGAAAAACTAATATTATTTAATATGCATCTATTTAGCTGAAGAAATTTAATCTGGTTTTCTTGGATAATACTCCATTTTCTATCTACTCAAGTTGTTAGATCCAGGGTTATATTGACTGTTATCTGACTTAATCTTCTCTTGCAAGCATTTTTTTCAGTATTGCTACCATGAAACATACTGATGTAGGAATGGAACCAAGCAATTCTAAGGGATATATTTGGTTTAGTACCTGAAATATCTAGCTGTAACTAGGAACTTTTTTTTTTTTAATTGAAATGGCCTAATTGCAAAACTATTTAAACTTGGAAATAATGATTGTGTATATTTGTCTTTTTTCCCTTCTTTTTAAAAAATATGGCACAAACCACATTTATGGTACCGTATACTCTAAAACCCATTCACATGTGTTCATACATCTTATATGTGTCTGTCTAAAAATTAAAACAGAGCAAACTCTTGATACATCAAGAACCCTGTGAACATTCATTACCAATGTGTTTTCAGCCTGTCTTGCCTTAAAAGAGGAAGATTAAGGATAAATTCAGGTTTTGAATATTTTAGTAAAATTCCATCCAGTATTTCTAGATGTAGAACGTGCACAACTAATAATGTTTTCTATTATCTTTATTTTCCAATATACATACTTATGACGTAGAAATTATTATAGAAAGCAACATTATCATTGCCTTTTATTTACTTTGGAGGACTTGTCATTTACTATAATTCATGCCTTGTATAGATGTAGGTTACTTTGTAATACTAAATTTTGGGTTGTCTCCTAGGTCCTATCAGCAGTATCCTGGTGAATAAATATGGCAGTCGTCCAGTCATGATTGTTGGTGGCTGCTTGTCAGGATGTGGCTTGATTGCGGCTTCTTTCTGTAACACTGTACAGGAACTTTACTTGTGTATTGGAGTCATTGGAGGTGAGTTGCTACTGATTCATTTTCAAGCATTAATTTATTGCTGGCTATTTGGTATTCACTTGCATTCTTTTTTGAGATCTTTTGAGTGAAATTCTTTTCATATGGAAATGATTTGACTATCATTTTGAAGAGCTATAGATAAATTAAGAATACTAGAAAAGCAAACTTTTAAAGAAATTGCTGTTATATAATCGATATTTATTGTTTGTTGAATGAATGAATTGAAAGAGATGATTGCATTACTTGTCCTAGGAATAGACAGTGGTGCTAGATAAACTGTATATGGCAACTTGTTGCAAGGTGCTCATTGATTATTCTCTTTGCCTCTTGCTCCTAAGGAGAATAGGCTTCTATTGGAGTAGGAGAGAGTGTTAAACATACAGCACCAATTATTTGATAGAATGTCCAGATAACATTTCTGAGGCATAGAGGATATATTTGATAATCCCTCCCCTCTTTTAATCACCAAATTAAGGTAATGATCTGCTAATGAGTATAAAGAATAAAGATTAATCATAACCTCACAATCCAAAGAATGTCACTATTAACATTTTGATGTATATCCTTCCATATATTTTTCTATACACAAATATACCTTTTTTAGAACAAAAAAGGATCAGTTTATCTATATTGTTTTGTAACTAGTTTTTTTTCTACTTTATATCATGAACATCTTTCCATGTTATTAAAAATTCTGGTACATAATTTTAATCTCTGTTATTCCATTAAATAGATATATCATAATTTTATTTGACCAATGTCTTGGTTAATTGTTGAATATT